TCACACATTTTTTTCTTGCTCTCCTTGACCTCCCCACCACAGCTGGAGCTTAACGTGCTAACCTAAAATGCTGAAATGTAATCCTTTAGCTTGTTATTCAGTGTGTCCTGTGAATACAGCCATTTATAAAGCTGGGCTAGGATAATGGAAGGGGACTTGATGGCTCAGTGGTTAAGACGCTGAGCTTGTCGATCGGAAAGGCTCAGCAGTTCAGCGGTTCCAATCCCTAGTGCGCTATGTAAGGGAGTGAGCTCCCGTTACTTGTCCCAGCTTCTGCCAACCTAGCAGTTCGAAAGCACCTAAAAAAGCCAAGTAGAAAAATAGGGACCACCTTTGGTGGGAAGGTAACTGTGTTTCGGGCACCTTTGGCATTTAGTCATGCCGGCCACCTGACCACGGAGACATCTTCGGACAAGCACTGGCTCTCAACTCAACTTTTTACTTTTCCATAATAGTATAAACTAGCCATTTCTATAACAACAAACCAATCTAATCAGTAAAACCCAAAATCCAAGGTTTTTTTTCCCTCCACCTCAAGCACAAAGTCCAGAAGTGGTTTCCAAGTAGAAACAAAAGTAACTGTCTTTTTCTTTTCTTTTATCAAAGCAAACAATTTAACTATTTCTGCTATGGTAACTTCATCAACTGTTGCAGCCATTTGTCCATTGCAAGTGTCCTTCCATTTTTTGTGCACAGAGTGTTCTTGCTATTGTCAGCCTATATAACCGTGATGGTGAATCTATGGCACACGTGCCACAGGTGGCATGCAGAGCCCCTCCGCGATGCGTTTTGGGCCTGGAAAGCCTCCTGCACCAACCCGGAAGCCAAAATGGGGTGTGGGGGCCCACACAAGCCGCCCCCCTGTGCCCCACTTTGGCCCTGGAAAGCCTCCTGCACCAACCTGGAAGCCAAAAATGGTCGAGGGGACGGGGCACATGTACGGGGGGGGGGGAGCGGGGAGCTGTTCACAGGTGCATTTGTGGAGGTTACACGCTCATTTGCAGGGGTGAGGGGCACGTGGGTGTCATGCACACATTGCATTATGGGTGCGGCATGTGCTATCGCACACAATGACAGAAAGGTTAGCCATCACTGCTATATAACATCAAATTTCCAACTTTTTCGCCCAAGTCTTTTTCCAATTCCTCCTCCTAGCTCAACCCATCTCGCCGGGTTGTTGTGCTGGTGAAAACCGGTGCGGATGTTTACCATGTAAACTGCCTCCAGCTGACAAAAAAAATACAGGCAAGCTAAATTTAAAAATTAAAATGAATTTAGATGATGGTTGAAACATTTCATTCCTGTGAATTCAAATATTATTCCCCTGCTTTTGCTAATTGCTTGTTTAGATGTCATAGTACTTAATGCATAAATATGGTGGAAGGAGTATCAAAAGTTTTAGCAGGATCAAGTGAGGTTTCTTAGCTATGTTTCAATCAGTAATGGGCCGGATCTCTTTTGTTGCTTTTAAATCCAGATGTTGGATGAAAATCACCATCTGATACAGTGCATCATGGACTATCAGAGCAAGGGCAAAACAGCAGAATGTACTCAGTGAGTATCGATTTATAAGGTTGATGCTAAAATAATGCGATGAGTTTGTCATTTCCTGGCCAACTGTCAGCGGATGAAAATAATAATTTTGTTATTGCCAACGTGGAAAACATCTACAATTCCTTTTTCTTTAGTCAGGATCTTAACATTGTTCTTTATAGTGGGAGTCAAGAGGTCAAAAAAGTCAAGATGGCTGCAATCACATTTCCCATGCCCTGTTTCTTGCATGTACTACCCTGCTTCCCTGAAAATAAGACCAACCCGGATAATAAGCCCAATTAGGCTTTTGAGCGCATGTGCTAAAATAAGCCCTCCTCTGAAAATAAGCCCTCCCCGAAAATACTGCAACACAGCAGCAGCCATGAGGTGACCATGCTCACTGCCTCCTGCACCTCAAAAATAATAAGACCTCGCCGAAAAGAGGGCGAAGCACTTATTTCGGGGATCAAAACAAAATAAGACCTTGTCTTATTTTCAGGGAACACGGTATGACAGTTATCTTGATTTCTTTTACTCTCCTCCATAGACCCCCCCTGCCTCTAATGAAGTCTCCAAATTGGACTTCAACTCCCAGAATTCCTAAGACAGCTGTGGGAATTCTGGGAAATTCCTGAGCTAGCCTGCTGGCTGAGGAATTCTGGGAGTTGAAGTCCACAAGTCTTAAATTGGTCACATCTGGAGAAATTCAAGAAATTAAATTACATTAGAGAAATTAAATTGAAGCATTCGTCTCTAGAGGCGACTGTTTTCAACCATGCCTTATTTATTTTATTTAGTCTGACATTTGTTTTACATTGGTGCTACACCTATGAATGAAATTCTACCTTTATCATAGAGTTTTTGGTCACCCAACAGATTAAATAACAACGGCTGGTCTCTCAACTGAAGCCGAACCCCAAATTGCTGAACCAGAGGTGATATTCAGCCAGTTCGGACCGGTTCAAGCAAACCAGTAGCGGAAATTTTGAGTAGGTTAGAAAACTGGCAAATACCACCTCTGGTTGGGCCCGCCCTTCTGCCCTTGTCGTTCCCTGTCCTATATTGCCTTGTTTTTTAGCTCAGCTGATTCGTGCGCAAAGCACACTCTCATAGTACCAGTAGGAAGATATTTGGAATCCACCACTGTCAATCGAACCCAGTTTAGCCGTGTAAGAGGTTGTGAGGTCCTTGGTGCTCTCTGAGTGTGTTTGTTTTCTTGCAGAAGATTCCTTACCCAAACTAGGTAACATGATCAGTGGTAGTAAGGAGCAGTGTTTCTGTAACTTCCACCTGGGTTCAGCAGACGACGAAGCCCAGTGCAATGAAATGCACACTGAAATTGTTTCATCCCATTCTGGCAGGCTGTATCTAACCAGCCCGCCTCTCTCAAACTGCAGACATTTCTGGTGCTTTTCCCTTCCCTCTTGCACCCCCCTCTCTCATTTCAGGTGATTTCATTCCAGGATTAATCCAGGAATATTCAGCATCCATTTTAAGCCCCCCACCCAGTGTGAGATTCAGCCAGTTCGCACCACTTCAGGAGAACCGGTTGTTAACTTTCTAAACAGTTTGGTGAACTGGTTGTAGCATCAATACACCCAGTGCAGAGGTACTTTTCCAAAACACAGTGGATTTTGAGAGGGATGGGGGCTGTGGTGGGATTTAAATAATTTTAACAACCGGTTCTCTGCCCTAAAGATTTCTTCCAACTTCCAGTGTTGGAGGATTCACAACTTCTGGAGGCAAGCTGTTCCACTGATTAATTGTAATTGTCAGGACATTTCTCCTTAGTTCTAGGTTGCTTCTCTCTTTGATTAGTTTCCACCCATTGCTTCTGCCCTCAGGTGCTTTGGAGAATAGCTTGACTCCCTCTTCTTTGTGGCAGCCCCAGAGATATTGGAACACTGCTATCATATCTCTTGTAATCCTTCTTTTCATTAAACTAGACATACCCAGTTCCTACAACCGTTCTCCATATGTTTTGGCCTCCAGTCCCCTAATCATCTCTGTTGCTCTTCTCTGCACTCTTTCTAGAGTCCCCACATCTTTTTTACATTGTGGCGACCAAAACTAGGTGCAATATTCCAAGTGTGGCCTTACCAAGGCGTTATAAAGTGATGTGTAAAACGTTTCCAATACAGTTTCTTTTTCTCAGATATGTGCTGTTTTCTTATGTCTATAGATACCAACAAATCTTACACAGAAATCTGGTTTACTTGGCCACCATAGCAGACTCCAATCAGAATATGCAGTCCTTGCTGCCTGCTGTAAGTATCTTCATTCAAATCAAACCATTTATTGCTGAATGAGCCAACTCAAAGGAAGTCTCAGTTTGAGCAGAATCCTTTGGTTCAGGGGTGAAATCTTCCTGGTTCGGCTCAGTTCAGCTGAACCAGTAGGGATGGTTGTCCCTGGTTCTGTGAACCGGTGGTAAAAAAAAAGCTTCCGAGGATCGCGTGGCTCAGCTATGAGCCGCGTGATACTTAGAAGCTCCCCTCTCCCCCAATTTTTTAAAGTATTTTTTCCTGCCTATTGTTTCCGGCAGGAAATTAATGCTTTAAAAAGTGAAAAAAAAGTTGGCCATGCCTACCCAGACACACCAAGCCACACCCACAGAACCGGTGGGCAAAAAAATTAAATTTCACCACTGCTTTGGTTGTGCTTTATGGGAGGTGGGGGAACAACCAGAAACACACCCGGCGTGTGGGTTGCAGTGGAATTAATTTTTCATATTGTGGACTAAGAGATGTGGGCTGTGATTTATATCTGTGCATTGGAGCGACAGAAGACACAATCGATCTAATAAAGAATAATATTTGTAGCTCTGGGTTGAAATGAGGGGTCCTTCTGAGCTTGGTGGTTTTCTTGCAGATGTTTTATTACTTAAACTACTGTGTTTTTCAGAGTATAAGACACATCTTCCCCCCCTCCAAAAAAGAGGGTGAAAATCTGGGTGCGTCTTATACACTGAACACGGCATTTTTGGCTACCGAAACCCCACCCCCTTCAGAAAAATGGACGTGCAGTAATGGAATATTTGATGGGAAAGAGGAGACGAACCTAATCATAGATCAAAAGGAAAGAGTTATATATTCAGTTAACTGGATTCTGCAGTTGAAGAACTACAGGAACTCATGTATCTGCATGCTTTATTTTTCTTCCAAAACAGAAGCTTCATGTGTCCTTAGCAGGACCCTTGATTTTGCTGTGCTTCTATTTCCTTCACAACTGCTTCATGCTATTCTCAGTGTTAAATAGCCAGAAAACAATACTAGATATAAAGTTTAATATTTGTCAAGGGGACTTGTCAGCTCCTTGAGATAGACGAGGTCAAGAAACAATCTCTGAACTATTGTAGCTGCTTTTCTAAGTCTTTACTGGTTCATTCCTCCCCCTCAAAGGCTTTTCATAGCTTCCTGAGGTCAGCTGAGGCACATAGGCTGAAAGATTGTCTCTTTCCTCATGGNGTGGAGCCTTTCTTCACGGCCTCCTGGGCATATTCGACCTGAAACAGGTGCCCGTCCGGGGAGAAAACGGTGATGGCCCGGTCGTAACTCATGACAGCGGCGAGACGACAAAAAAAGCGCCGACCGGAGCCGACAATGAAAGGAAGCAGCAGCCGCGCGAGATATTCCTTCCTCAAAAAACAGCACCGTCACCTTCCCTCAGCGCGCATGCGCCGAATGCCGCGCGTAGCACGCTATTCACGCAGCGCTCATACGCCGCCTCCTCCGCTTTTATCCCAGGCGTTTATAAGCATATGGGAGAAGGGGGGGGAGGGGGAGGAAAAAAGACTGATGCCTTACGTCAAGCACGTACTTGGCAGCCGTAAGCGGCTCGACCTATCCTCGTCGCCGACGCTCTTGGCCGGATGCAACGCTCGAACGGGATTGGCTTAGCTGGCTGAGGCGTAACCCAACCTGTCAGTCCAATACATAAGGAAGCGTACCGGGCTTCCTGGTACTCTAATAGCTTAGGCGAGGTTAACGGGTGAAGAAGGCAGACGCTGGGAAAGCTTGGCTGACGCTACGCAGATGACGTACGCGCGTGTCTGCTCCTTCCACCTGCCGCTCCCACGCACTTGGCGTAGCGCTGCCCTTCTTCCCCCGCCCTTGCTACGCACTTGGCGCAGCGAGATGCTCTTATTGGCAAAAATCAGGGAAGAGATGCGATTCGCTCGCGACAGGAAAGCCGACAACAGGGATGCACCATGTGCAGGGCGGAGGGGGGAGGAGAGGAAGGTGGATTTGGAGAAAGAGGAGGGGGGCAGAGAAGGAGGAGGAGGAGGTGGAGGCGAAGCCGCTCAGGTGGCTCGGCCGCTCTCTCTCTCTCTCCCTTAGCCCCAGCTCAGCCGCTGCCTCGCCGCCTTTTGCCTTGGCGTGCAGAAGCGGCCAGGTAAAACCAAAAAGGAAAAAAAAGGGGGGGAAAGGGGGGTGTTGCGCGGAAGAACTCTTGGTGCAATGCCGCAGGCTGGTTGTTCCAGGCTCAGATTGTACCATTTCCTCCGGCTCCCCCTCTATCGTNTGACTCGTTATGGTATTTATATTAGAAAATATTTTCTCAGGTAAACTGATAATCAGGCCAAAGATTTTCTGAAACACACCAATTCTGGTGAAAGTTGGAATGTGTGTTCTCCCAGGAAAAACTATGTTTTCCATTGAACCCAAATTATTATGGAATGTTTAGATTGGCTGCTTTTAACTTGTAGATTTGCTGCTGGATGGACAGGTCCAATCTGCTAGCAAATCCCACAAGTCTGTTGGTATGCTTTAATACTGGTATCTTTCAGTTTTGCTATTAGCTGCCTGGGTCAATATGGAGAGGAATCCATGATCATAATCACCTGACAATTGAGCAGCTAACCTTTGTAAATGTGGGTACATTCATGTGTCATTTTGAGCATTGTTACTTGTTTGGTTTCGGCTTAGCATGTGGACTTACAGTCAATTGTAACTTAGTCAAAAGAACACACTTCAACTTCGTTGTGATGTGTCAACCAGATCTTCCAATTATGTCAGTACTCGCAATTTCTGTGTGAAAGAGAGAGCTTAGCTTTCAGATTTTCTTCCCAAAGATTCAGAGGGTGTGATTTTCATCTAAATCTGAGAACCCATCTGCCTTGGTGTGAAATACGCACAGTGAAATTTATTTCAAATAACCTGTTGAAATTTGCTTATTCGGGAACTAGGGAAATTGAATTTGTGCCTTGTAGCATCTCCATCGGTGCAGTGTTTTTGATCAGTGGCTAACGCTTCCTAGAGTTAAGCCTCTTTCAGGAGGAGATTCTTTTTTTGAAAACCTTTTGACAGGATTGAGGGGAGCCGAGGTCTCTGAGCACAAATCAAGTTTGGTCCGAACAAATGCAGGGGTTACTGACATTGCTTGGTTTCTCTCAGGTGCTGCTTTTCCATCTGTTCATTCAGTGCGCAAAAGTCCAATGGTGGAGCAGGCTGTTCAAACTGGCCCGCTGGATAACAACTTGAATCCCAAAAAGGCAGTCAAAGCTCCTCCAGCAATTCAACGCAACACACGTCAGATTCAGCAGAATCACAAGACAAATGGTACTGAAATCTTTTCCTTCAGACAATATGCCAGTGTTTTAAATTAATAGTAATTGGAACTACCATCTGCTGTTGCCTTTCAGCATCTTGGCTCTATGGAGTGAACAGGTTTTCCTATTTTGTCTTAGATATAGTTGACCCACCACCTGTGCAAACGCAAGGGCAGGTGAATGATGAGAATAGAAGGCCCCAGAGGAGGAGATCAGGTATGTTACCTGATTGTAAATTGTCCAAAGTAATTGAATTTAATTCTTTAAAGCAACTGAATTGCCTCTTTTGCGTTACTGCTGTAATGCAACCTTTCATAGAAGAATCAAGATTAATTGCTCCTAATTAATTCATTATACTTCTACTTCAGTTGAAGGCTAAAAGAGTTCAACAGCTCTATGCATGAAAAACTAAAAGAATTACAGTGAAAGGACATTGGTATAATAGTCTACAAGGATCTGAAGTCTTATGGAGTGATATGACTTTAGCAGCATTAGCCGAGGAAGCTGTGCTGGTCTAGGAGAAATATTTCAAATCTAAGTAAAAAATTTAAATGAATGAGAATGCAAGAACTTATTTCTGTAAAGTTCCGTAGAGTAGAAGTTAAGCAAAATATTTATTCATTAAATAGAATTATTTTTCACTATGTTTCAATACAGGTAGCTCTCAACTTATGACCAGAATTGAGCACAAAATTTCCATTGTTAAGCAAGACAGTTGTTAAGTGAGTTTTGCCTCATTTTACAACCTTTCTTGCCACAGTCATTAAGTGAATCAGTGTAATTGCTAAGTTAGTAACACAGTTGTTAAGTGGATCTGGCTTCCCCATTGACTTTCCTTGTCTTAAGAGCACAAAAGGTGGATCACATGACCCCAGGACACTGCAAGCTTCATAAATACATGCCAGTTGCCAAGCATCCAAATTTTGATTGTATGACCACGGGATGCTGCAATAGTCATATGTGTGAAAAATGGTCATAAGTCACTTTTTTCAGGGCTTTGTAATTTTGAACAATCACTAAGAGTATGGTTGTAAGTTGAGGACTATCTGTATAAACAAGATTCAGAAGCAACATTTCCTGAAGTTTCTGATTTGATGGAAGTCTTCTGCTGAGTGTAAGGCGATCTCCGTCAAATTCTAGGTATTCATGCCAGTCAGGCATTAATAGAATGAGAAGTACCAGATCAGCCAGCTTGCTGGCATCACTTCTGTGGAATTCAAATGTGATTGAACAACACAGCATCATGCATTGCCTTGAGCAGGGAGCATGTGAGGTCAAGCCTTGCTTTGTCTAAAATTAAAATGAATTCTCACTAGAAGATTGTAACATCTTTTGTTTAGGAAATAGAAGAACTAGGAATCGCTCCAGAGGACAGAATCGACCAGCTGCCGTGAAAGAGAATACAATCAAGTTTGAAGGTGACTTTGATTTTGAAAGTGCCAATGCACAGTTCAACCGAGAGGAATTGGATAAAGAATTCAAGAAGAAACTTAATTTCAAGGGTTAGTATTTTGGCTGTTTCTTGTATTCCAGACACACACACACACACACACACACACACACCACACACACACACCACACACACACACNCAGAACACAGCCAAGCTCCCACCCAATCAGCTCAAACCCCCACTGGCAGTTAAAAGGAAGAAACAGCCGAGATCTCACATTGCTCCTGGAAGCACGAAGCCTGAAGATGACGAATGAGACTTCGTTGAAATGTCGCCAAGACACTTCCAATTTTACGCAGGAGAAAACCGAAGACATATATATATATATATAGGCTAAGGATGAAATAGCTGTGTTATTTTAATGTGCTATGTACTCTAGGCATTGTATATAATAATATCTAGGCATTATGTAGAATGACAAGAATTATTTAAGTTAAATGAATTAGGTTAAACAGAGCCTGAGATTGCTCAGTTTTATAACTAAGTGGGAGTTTGAACTCAGGATTTTCATATCTAATTATGACAGAATAGGGATTGAAAAACATATAATCAAATCATGCCCTACGTGTATATGTAGCCTTGTATTATATTAATTTTTGCAAAAGATTAAAATATAAGAATTGAACTAAGGTTGGCTATCATGGACCTGCAACACATAACAGTTATCTAATTTTAATAGTTACTTAATTTTAATAAAAAGTAAGCAAATACTACAAATGTAACATAGCAGGGTTTTTTTCTTTCTTAAAATTTTTTTTAGGATTTTGTCCCACTTTATCAAGATTTTGAACACTTTTTTACAAGAAACTTCTATATGAGAATAAGAGATAATTGGAACCGCCCTATCTGCAGTGCTCCCGGAGCAAAATTTGATCTGATGGAACGTGTTTCAGATGACAGCAACTGGACATTTAGGTAGGTCAGTCTACAAAGTGTTTTTAATTAATGTAAATAAAACTATTTCATTCTTTGGCAGCAAAACATATTTATAGGCCTGATTTTGCATCAGTTTCAAAGTTAGAACATACTCTTTTTATAAAAGGTGAAGGTTCCCCTCGCACATATGTGCTAATCGTCCCCGACTTTAGGGGGTGGTGCTCATCTCCATTTCAAAGCCGAAGAGCCAGGGCTGTCCAAAGAAGTATCTGTGGTCATGTGGCCAGCATGACTAAACACTGAAGATGCATGGAATGCTGTTACTTTCCCAAGTTGGTTTCTATTTTTCTACTTGCATTTTTACATGCTTTCGAACTGATAGGTTGGCAGAAGCTGGGACAAGTAACGGGAGCTCACTCCATTACACAGTGCTAGGGATTCAAACTGCTGACCTTTCTGATCAACAAGCTCAGCATCTTAGCCATTGAGCCACCGCGTCCCTCACTATTTTTATACTCTTGGCCAAAAATTACTGTTGTTGTTGTCTTCTTCCTGAGGAGTGATTTTCCATTTACTTGAAATTGATGTTTGCTATTGACTTTCATTTTAATCTTTTTCTCCAAACATAAAAATCGGTGGCTTTCCATTCTTTTTATTAAAAAAAAGTTCTTATGAAAGATAGGAACTTTGATCCCTTTCCTCTTCTCCAGTCTGTGGCATTTGTAGTCCATCATTTTTCCAAGGAGGACAGGCAGGCAGAAGAAAGGCAAAAGAAGAATGGAATAATGTCTAAATATTGAAATTGTCACAGTGCTGTACAGGTTTGAAACCTGAAGTAGCCTATATTGATTACTATGAAAAGCCATCTGTTCTTTTTTTTCTGATGGTGTGTACAATACACCCACCTCTTGTTTTATAACCCGGTTCCATTCCAGTGATCTGGTTGTTAAGCAAAATTTTTAGTAAGGGAACATGTGACTAAGAGAGAGAGCTGCCACAAAGATCCCTGGTTGTTGCCATCTCATTCAGATAAAGTTTTCTCACATAACTATGCCCACATTACTTTCACATCAGGTATTCAAAAACTGCTTGTAAATGGGCGCGTTAGTCAGAAAATGATTTTTTATCACTGTTACATTCACAAACAATTGCCAAACATCGTAGTCATTAAACAAGGAGTGAGTCAGTGGTGGGTTCTGGATCCCATTGCAACTGGTACGGTGCAATGGGGCTGGGCGTCCACTATATGAATGCGTGCAACATGCACATGGGTACTTACCACCAGTGACGCCTCCGTGATATTCCAGCTGCTCAGCGGAGCGTCGTGCAGGTGTCATACACTCCATGCACGTGCTCAGAAGCCCTGAAAACTTCAAATACCAATAAGGAGTGAAGGTGGGCACCATACCGGAACGGTACCTGCATCACCAAGACTCTTAATTCTTGAAACCTTTAACTGGGTGAAACAGTGCGCCCTAGAGCAAAATGTGTTGAAACTCAAATCAGCTAACTTACAGAATGTGTTCAAAATGTGGGGCCCATGACTCCTGTGGAATTGAAATTTGGCAAAATTTATAAAACATTTTATGACATAAACTTTATCTTAAAGTGGTTTATGGCACAATACAGAATGTCATAAAACATTTCCTGTGGTGAAATTTGACTGTGCTATATTCAGGGTAAGCTATATTTAATGCATCTCTGAATATATCTCAACTTTTCCAGTGAAGGCAGTACATTAGAAATTCTATCATTGTTGGAGGCATTGAGAAATCTGGTAGGGAAATAGCAATAGCACTTAGACATATATCGCTTCATGGTGCCCTTACAGCCCTCTCTAAGTGGTTTACAGAGTCAGCATGTTGCCCCCAACAATCTGGGCCCTCATTTTACCCACCTCCAAAGGATGGAAGGCTGAGTCAACCTTGAGCCTCTGAAATACCTCTGAAACGATGACCAACAGGACTGAACTATCTAATAATATTTTAAAGTTAGAAGTGATGATCTGAAGGATTGTTGACCATTGTATAATCTCTATGCTCATAAAAAGAGACATATTTAAGCAGAGGAGGAAGAGTAGTTCAAGGAGCCATCCAATAGCAGTAGGTGAAAGGTTACCACAATTTGGAACACTGTCCCTTGTCTGATTTATCTCACTGTTGCCACTTAAGGTTAATTCAGCTTGCTGTAAATATTTTATTACAAAGGCACTTTAAGCATCCTATAAAATACTTCTTCTGCTGACATCCATAGAGGCATATTCGGGCACCGTCTGGGTTTATATAGAAAATTGTGATTGTTTTACAAAGCTTTTTTCCTGAAAGATAAGATAAGATAAGCCTTTATTGTGGTTTGATCAACATGATTGTGTTTGCATATGCATATGTGTTTGTATGTGTACATACATGTACATGCATACAATAAATGCATAAAATGCATTAAGTATACATTTTAAAATGGCAATTAAAAGAGTGGGGCAGGAGGAGAAAACTTAGAGGTATCAAAGAAAGCAGTTTTATTAGATAATATTTGTTGCTTCATAACTTTCCTGAAATGAAAAACCACCTTCAGCCTTGACTGAATTTATTTAAGGAGGAAAGAGGATTCCAGTCTCCTGGTATTAACTGAATTTTAAAATAGATTTGGTTAATTAAAAAGTATTTTAGTAATAATTAGACTTTATGTTGTTATACTTTCTTTGACTATTATAGGTTCACTGGAAGGATAATCAAGAATGTAATAAATATGGGTTCATATAATTACCTTGGCTTTGCAGAAACTGACCACAATGCTTTGAAGACAGTGAGTTCAGTGTTAAATAAATATGGCACAGGAGTATGTAGCACCAGACAGGAAATGGGTAAGTTAAAATTAATATTATTAAAATCTGAGTCTAGAGATCTTATTTAAAACTATAATGTAGATTTGATTTCTTAATGAATTGTATTCATTAACACATAATCTTAAAGCAGCTCACTTGGGTGGCTGCTCTTATTTACCTAGATACCCAACCACCCCCATAAACAATTACTAGCTGCCGAACCAGAAACTGTTAAACTATGAGTAGTTATTGCTCAGCTGAAACAGCTCATGTATAGCATTGCCTGGATTATAATCTTTGACTTCACTTTAAAGCTTTCAAGAATAGGAGAGTGGTTTGACTTGTTCAGCTTTAAAATTGCATTTCAGTTAACTTCATTTAAAAGCAACATTGGTATAAAGAGCTTTTAATACCAGAAGTTTATTTCATTTTTGTTCAAATGAAGTAAAATTCTACATGGCTGTTTTCCCTGTGCTCCCTTACATTTGACATATTATATCATGATGCAGCATGGCGATCCTTTCATGTAATGTAGTTGTACATTTCCCCCAAAACAGATTATTATAATGTCTAACAACAGGTGGAAGAAAAGTTGAGTGGAACCCTTGCATACCTATTCATTTATTTCATGATCTGGCCCCATTTCAAGGATATTTTTCATCAGCCTGGAAATCCGTCATCCATTAACATGCACACAAGGGAATGGAGAATTCCAAATTGTATCTCACGTTGTGCTCAATTGTAGTTATGAAGGCAGCAGCAATTTTTTAGGCAGGGGCATTATTGTATGTAGAGATCCAATAATGGGTTACACCCATGATTGAAAGGATAACCTCTTTGTCATCAAAGAATTCTGTTGTTATCGGAGCGTTTTTCATCCCAGAAGATCCCAATTGATATCTAAATATTGTTTTGACACTGCAATCATTTCCCATATCAGACATTTTTTGGCTTTGCAGCATTTATATATTACACACACACACAAACACACACACACACACTAATATAAATATATAATTTGGATGATTAATACAGTTATGAATTAATGAGTGATTATAGATAAACATAGTTTATGAATGGTTACAAATGTATATTAATATAACCACATAGATAAATGCCCATCGATCTAGGCAAAGGCTACATAATTAATGTAATGTCCCTCCATATGTTGAAGTTTAGCAATTATTGTTTGGTTTTAATGTTCCCAAGTTACATGATATGCTAGGCACTCATGATAATGATAGGCAAGCTGTTGTCCTCCAGATGGTTTGACTTCAACATAGCCACTAGCAAGGTAATGTGGGAGCTGTAATCTCAAGCATCTGGAGAACACTAAGTAGTTTTAGTTGTCCAAGAATATGTATGTAAAATTATAAGATCTTAAC